ATATTTCTATGACAAGATCACATGAATTAGGCGTAGGCTAGAGAGGGGCCATGCTCAGAGCAGGAGATGGTTCCCAAGCCTCACGCAAGGCCCGTATAGACAGTCCAGCGTCGATTGAGTGTATGATTCGAATCAAAACTGCCTTTCATGCCCTTGACATCAACTTTGTCAAGTACAAAATGGTGTTGTTTCCTGATAGGTTGGTCTCATGTTTCTCCGTCTAATACAGATGCAAGCGGCGGCCGGATAGGATCATTTGGATGTTACGCTCCTGCCATACAGCATCACTCCCTGACACCTCTATGATGTATAAGAGCCCTACAATTCGAGTATTCCGTTCGCTTCAACCGTTCTCCACTATTGTCTTTATGAATTCTAAGTCTTACTTGGCTGACAATTATGATGGCCACCAAGCCCAGTAGTACTCCGTGGGTCGATGGCCCATTCTCATTGATCGAGACTCCTCCGAAGCCAACCCAGGTGTGTATGATATGAGACATTACTAGTGCATAGAAACTCGAAGAGCAAGAACTTTATATCGAGACAATATTCAACTAAAGCGATCATTCCTACTTGCATGCCGTATCTGAAATGAAACAGATCCACGATCTCATCATTCGCGGCCTCAACGCGATTCCACTTCAAGGCCACACCTTTCGCACCTCGACGAAGTCCAATATCAAGGACATTACAGACTTTCTAAGGTACGTTTCCTATTAGGCCAAGGACGTTTCATCATTACCACCGGGTCGAAGAGAAGGTGCTATTTCCAGACCTGGGGAAGTTCAACGGCAAGCCTGATTTATTCAATGGTGCATATTCTATTCAGGATGCTACAGAGGTTTGAAACAGGAGTGGCCAGCAGATCAAAAGCACGAATAGTGAAAGAACCCACTGCTATAACAGCATAGATGCTTTCATCACCAGGTAGCCCGCAATGGCCCGGCTGCAACTGAGATTGTTGCTCGCTGTCTTCCCGCAAATCTTCATCGGCACCACGTGCTAACGAAGCGAGTCGCATGTTGTTCAGTAATAATTATCGCCATCGATCCCATTGAACATGATCCCATCCTTCTTGTTTGGCTAAGCGCTTAGCCTCTACCCATGCAAAGGTTTCCCATCTAAATCCTCCGAAGCGCAGAAGATTTTCCACGATCTCGTCATTCTCTCTTACAAGGGCAGCCCGGAGAGCTTTTTCAAGACACAAAGTTTTAGGTGTGCTCTATAACACCATCTTCAAAACGCGAAGGTTCCCATGGCGAGCAGCCCACTTAAGGGCATCTGGGTGAACCTGCACCCTTCTTTCAAAAAGATAAAGCACTACCTCCCATCGACCAAACTTGATCGCCCAAAGCAGACAGTCCAGATTCAACAGCTGGACCCCTATTGGGGACTTCACAGTAGATCCCAATTGGACCAGGCGATCCATCATCTTTAGATCACCGATTTCAATGGACTGTAATATCTTTTTCTTAACGAAGTCTCGGGTTATTCCTGTCGAGTAGCTTTTCACCCTTTCTTCACCCTTCTAGCGTGCAAAAGAAAGCAATCGGTTGAGGGTTTCCACGCTTGTGGTGGCATTGAGTGGTTGATAGAGTGACAGGCTGTTGTGATCGCCCCAGCTTTCCAGAATCAGCTCGATGGTAGATGATTGGTTTCCTTTAGCAGCATAATGTAGAACCTGGTTTTCAAAGAATCCGTCACTGACTCCAACGTTTCCCTCGAGCTCATCGAGTAACATGAATACGATATCATTGTTTCCTCGGTATGCAGCAATGGTCAAGGGAAAACCAAAGATGGGTCTATTCGAGTTCTTAGTATACATACTCCCAACGCACAAATGCGAAACTGGAGAGGGGGAAATTGGTATACTCACAGGTGTGGCTGAGTTTGACCTGATTTTGGGCAGATGAGATCTAAGCAATTCCGGAAAGACGGCAAGATCTTTTGGACCACTTCAACATTGTTCTTCCATGCAGCCGCTGCTAAGAGCGCTTGCCAGCATAGCTCTTGTTCATAGATGGTCGTGGATGGAATCGAGAGAGTTTTTAGCGAGTCGCTTACATAGCTTCTGTTGCACACTTGACGTGGGATGTCACAGAGCTCGAAAACGCAGTCTTGGAAAGTCCTAGATTCGATATCTACACAACTGTCGAGGGGGTCGTGTTCGACCAGCTGTTGAGCAACGTATCGAATGATGTAGAATTGACCTGAATATGTCTCGACCGGACGACGCAGGACTCTGTATGCGATGTATCGTGAGTAATAAGAGAAAATATGGGCTTCGTTGTCGAGGATTCCAGACGCAAAGATAGCTTCCATGACAAGAGTATTCCAATAGCGACTGACGCGTCGTAGACGGCTTGCGCGCTTGATGCCGCGGTCGGTGACAGCTATGAGTAGAATCTCATGGCAGATCTCTACTGGGAGCTCGGAGAACGCCATTTCGTCGGTGGGAAGAGTTCGTCTGCGATCTGTCTTGTCCTAAAAATGGATGTCTGAGTCTACTGCCAGTATCTTTCCGGGTTTTGGCGGAAGGACAGTATCGCCGCGCTTGCAAAGCCAGGGCAGAAAATTGACATGCTATAAGAAGATGTGATCTGAGTGAACTTCGAGGTTGTTGAAGCCTTCCTGGTACGTTGGAAAGACAAGATGGTAACCAGGTTCCTAGAGGCAGATCTTTAGTGTAGTAGTTTGAAGTTATAGAATACCTGATTGCTGCTGTAGATAATACAGTAGCCAAGGATGGGCTTTATTATCTAGGCATTTGTAGACACCAGCAGGGTGTAGCGGTCCGTAGACGACTTGCCTCAGGAAATGGCACCTACCTGAGTACATGTAGTAATAGAAGGGAAGGAACATTTGCGGTAGTATGGCTAAACAATGTCTATCTCTCGCGCCTGCCCTGCATTGCTGTGCCGGATCGGAGGTATGCTTGCGAAAGCCTCCTAGTCCTTCAAAATTGACTAATAGAACTTAGGTACCTTCGAACCCGCCAATGCAATAGTTCTCGGGAAGCTACAAGTGACCACCGGCTCATCATACAAGCTTTAAGGACCTCATTGGGGCCGCTATCTGACTGCTTTACCCTACCGGTACAAGTTGCCTTGGTGCCTTTCATTGAAACAAGCCTGACTACTGCCATGTCAGTTGAGTATACTGGCATGCCGTGAATCCCTGGCTCCGTGTTCTGTGTCGCTGAACAGCCACACCGGTGAAAGTGCAAACCAACCGAAACTACCTGATCTGGGCAGGACCGATCTCTCGGAGGCATCAACCAATATCACAGCTTCCTGTCTCTTTCTTCTACCTTATTCTTTCCTAATCGTTCTCTCGAATAGAACAGTGCAAAGTAGCATTCCGCAGGTATCAGCCGCCGCGATGGGGTTGGTGTAAGATGGAAGCGAATGCGCGAGCCGTTCCGCGAGAACCATCAACGATGTACTCTTCAATACAGTCTTGACCGTTTCAATAGGCATATCATTCAAGACTGTGCCGTATGGGGTATGTCTTAGTATTTCAGTGAAATGTATATTGACCTGTAGTGCACGCCATCCTTGAGTATATGAAAATATCCTGTAAAAATCTGAAGTCTTGCAGCCCTTCTCTTGTACATGAGCCATATCAAGAAGCCAAGTACGATGAATTCGAGAACTCGGAGGTCGTCAGATTTGAAAAATGAAGCAGAGTATTCTCTGTTTGCCCTATCAAGGCACCCGCGACTGTTTGGGCCCGATCCAATGTCAGAGATCCTCAAAATCCCTAAGTGATGTGGGCTAATGTGAAGTAAGATTCTACTCGCTCTCAACGCCCCATGCGGTATGTCCGAGTCGTGGAGTAGCTTCAGAGCCTCAGTCAACCCAGTCAATTGCTCTGAACTTCACTAGAGTAGGCTTCCATTTCTTTCTGGTTGTAATTCCGGAGGCTGCTCACAGAAATCTTCTTCCACTCCTGATACAGGGAAGTACAATATAGCTTTCCCGTCCCTTCAGAAACCTGGTGATAGTCTTGATAACATAAGGGTGAGGCCGTTCGCTTACGGCCTTCAGCACTTCCGCTTGTCTTTTTTCAAAGTCGTTCGACTCTTTTGGCAGTTGTTTGACTACTACACACTGGCCAAGACACATGGCCTACTCCATGTCAGCGAAACAAGCAGCTACATCGATGGGCATGCAGGCATAACCTTTGAGATTCTTTCGATATGGGCTTCATGCAAATTTACTACCCTCAGCCTGCTAATTACTCCTCGACTAGGTCTTCGCTCTGTTTCCTCGAGGAACGGCAGAGGGATGTCCCGCTTGATCTCGTAAGCGAAGAGACCAGGGAATAGCCCCGGGGACCAAGAAATTTCATTGTGTGCCTTTGAAGCTACTGACGTGGAAGAACCACGAGTGTCCCCAAATTTCTTTGAGCATCTTTCGAAAGCTTCGGGTCGTGTCACCCATGGAGTAAACTTCGCATTTCGATCTTCGTCCTGCCCTCTTAGAAATCTCCTTGATACCAATTGGCAAAGCATCGTCGTCGATATGTACCCAATAAATTGTTCGATGGATCGAACTTGATTCATTCGAACCAGAGTTCAAAACAACTTCAGAGCCTTTTGCAAAACCCAGTTGACCAGATTATCAGTGATGCGAATTTCTGAAGATTTCAGCCAGATTTCAACATTACTGCCTCTCTCGGCATGAAAGTGATCGCTTTATGACAGTTATGAGAGTACATAGACATACAAAATCCACACCAATGATAGCAACGATGAAGCTCCTCCTCCTTGATATATAATAATTCACCACATTCACTTGTACCCTCCCTTGCTCCGGGCCACCAAGCAGAGAGCCACCCCCCCTATCGCAGCACTACAACACCGCCGGCCAATCATATGCCTTTGGCGCCCCATACAAGTCCAGGTCTCGGATGGGCTTATCTAGTGTTATTACTGAACCCGTCCGACAAAAGGGTCTTTATGTTAGATAACAACCCAGAACCCCATAACTCGTACGGGCCGCTTGGCCTAATGGCTAGGGCGTCAGATTTCGGCTCACATTAAGTGATAAAATCTCTGAAGATTGTCGGTTCGAATCCGACAGTGGTCGTTTGATTTTTTTACTCTTCTCGGCATTTTTGCCCTCTATCTCTTGATATCCTCTTCTTTCCCTTGAACAGGATCTTTTCCCCCCAGGCATGTAAGATAAGGCCTACCTTGTCTATAGTGGCTGTAACTATAGTATGTTTTAGGCCTGGAATAGCGGTTGAATTCCACTATATCTTACCCGGTATCAACTGCCGGTGTCGGCGGATACTTCACCGCCTAGCGACGGAAGAGAGTGGGTTGGTTCTGTAACAGTTGACTAGTGAGAAGAAACACATATAGAATAATAAAACATTGCCAAACAGGAGGGTAACCAAAGCAGTGGGCGCAGTGTGTGCTCGACGAGGGCATCGTTCCTATCATGTCTGCCTCTCTTCCTGGTAACAGGGAGCTGCCCGAGTCGCAGTATGACCTGAGCACCTACTGGGGTCGCGTGCGCCAGACTGCGAGCATCACTGATCCAAGGTACGTACATGTCGCATCCTAATCAGTTTATGCACGACTTTCGACTTTCAACACATTTCGGTATCTACAGGTCACTAACAAGATGTCACTCTTGTCTACAGGACTCTCCTTGCCGGAAAGCGTGGCCTCGAAGATGCGAAGAAGCTGGTTGTCGCATATAAGCAGGGCGAGATCAAGGAGATGACGCCCGAGCTATGGAAAGCAAAGAAGATTGTCGATTCGACGCTACATCCTGGTATGCAATATAGAGACCCTCATGCTGCTCTGAAATCTGAGGGCTGATAGTACGCGACACGAACAGACACCGGCCAGCCAGTCTTTCTCCCCTTCCGCATGTCGTGCTTTGCGCTCTCGAATTTGGTGGTGACAGCAGGAATGCTCACGCCAGGACTTTCGGTACGGCGTTACTCTATTTCTCCTGACCACAGCCCAGAAGCCTAGCTAAAAGTAACCTCTTCGCAACCTCACAGAACACCGGCACCGTCCTCTGGCAGATCACGAACCAGTCCCTCAATGTAGCCATCAACAATGCAAATGCGAACAAATCTTCGCCGCTCTCCTACTCCAAGATCGCACAATCATACTGTCTGGCTGTCGGCGCATCATGCTCTGTAGCCCTAGGTCTCAACTCCCTCGTCCCACGCCTCAAACGCGTCTCGCCCTCAACAAAACTTATTCTGGGCCGTCTCGTGCCATTCGCTGCCGTCGCGTCTGCTGGATTTCTGAACGTTTTGCTTATGCGCGGCGAGGAGATGCGCGTCGGCATTGACGTCTACCCTGTGCTATCGAAAGCTGATAAGGATCGGCTGGCTGCTGAGGGCCGTGCCGAGAGCGATGTCCCTTCGCTCGGAAAGAGCAAGAAGGCCGCTACGCTTGCTGTGGCTGAGACGGCATTCAGCCGTGTGTTGAACAGCAGCCCGATCATGGTCGTGCCGCCGTTGATACTCGTGCGCCTGCAGCGGACGGAGTGGTTGAAGAAGAACCCACGGTACACGCTGCCCATTAACTTGGGCCTGATCCTAGGCATGAGCTATATCGCATTGCCTCTCGCTCTGGCGGCGTTCCCTCAGAGACAGAGAATCAGCGCGGAGAGTCTTGAGGAGGAGTTCCATGGGCGTGGAGGAGAGGAGGGCTTGGTGGTTTTCAATCGTGGAATTTGATACCCAAGATCAATTTGCTGTCCCAGTAATAAGGGGTCAGTCAGTTAGACAGGAGAAAGACCATAGTTTTGACACTAGATTACTTGAGTAGACATGACTTAGAAAGTCTTGTTCTAGATGAAGAGTCCTAAAGTATACATAAATACATGAAATCAAGCTTGTCTCCATTGCCTTTTGAAATACAGTAGATTTAGCTGGCCGAGAAGTTACCAATGAAAGAACAAAGAGAGACCGAAGCTTTGCAGAGCATGTTGCCTTGAGGTTAATTAATCCATTCTTGCTTGTCAGTACAGGATAATTGCTTTGCATGTGCCAGTTTCTTCCTCTTGGCTCATCTGTCACGGACACGCTGCTCAAAGTCTTCTCACACTCTTTGTGATTGGTATCGTCAACTCTGGCCAGAAAATTGTAGTGTGGCGTACGATGTCCTTCACCCCGAAGATAACAACCAGATAGTCCATACTTCGGAGAGCTATTGACTTTCTCGGTCTGCCTATTACGTATACTCGTATATAGTCACTCCCTTCTAGGATCTTCTCTATAAAACCTCTTATAGAGTCTCGTAGTAAGTTGTAGTGGGGATTGTCACGATGACACACAGAGTCGTAATGGTGGCTTGAATGAAAACGTCCGGTCTGTTGTGAGTAACACTCTCAAGTCTACTGGTGAACACTGGATCGATAGCTTAATATACTGAGATCATATCCGATACCGACCAAACATACTTTCTAACACGCAACCCGTGCACTTATCTGTGAACGGAATGTCTTACCTCTCGCCTACGATCTATCCAATGTCAAAACCGTAGAGAACTACTTATAATGCCGGAGGGTGTGGAACTCAGCGCTAGGCACTAGTGATGTAAGTAGACATTGCTGCAAGCTGCAGGCAAAAGGCAAGGGGTCTTGCAGCGAATTTCCTATCGAAGAAAGCCGGAATGCTGACCAAGCCCGATGATTGGCGCCATCTCATCAAGACATGTGTGCTTGTGTGTGAGTGTGTGGTGCGCCGCACGCACGCACGCACGCTCGCACACACATGGGCGCATGCGATGTGAAATGGGACTTGATTGCCGTAGGGTTTTCACACTATTGGCGCGGGGTATACCGTATTATATTGGTTGGGTCATGCTAGGTCATGTCATACCATCTGTATGGATATGTCGCCAGTTGGCATTGGGGGCAGGCAAGTGTTGTGGATTTGTATTATTTTATCGCTTTACTTTTTTATTCAATAAAGGGTTCATCACCTTTGGCTGAGAGGAGGAGGAGGAATGTGATAATAAAAATGACATCAATCACTCCTTTGAGATTGGGTGGGAGATTCTATATGGAGTATTCCCATCGCTTTCTACGCGGGCCCTACCGACGGTACCTAGGATTTGCTGCGCCTTTCGGGGAGGTAGGATAGGAGCACATCTGCTGATCTTTGACGTAGTCTTTTTCTCTGCGTACGCAAGACGATACGGGCTTTGTTAAGTAAATAATTTGTGGTATCCATAAGTAGTCCTGGTATTTGGTTATTTTCAAAGAGGCTGTGATTCATCTGGGATTTGGGCAGTACCCGAAATACGGTCCGATAGTGGGGAGTCAAAGGCAGAGTCGTAGGCAGATAATTCACGTTGTTGTTGATGTACTCGTAGGTAAGGTAATCTTCATTCATGGGTGCTCAACAAAGTATATGCCAAGAAGTGGAAAGAGGAGGGGCTCAGAGGCGGGTGTGGTGACGCAGTGACTTCATCGAATGAGAGTGCAGCTGCAGAATCATAAGATAGGCGGAGAAGGGAAATGCCAGCAAAATGGAGTTGGACCGGGTGGTGGTTGAGCCGTGAGCCATGACTTGGGAACAAAATTCCACCTGTGTAGCAACGTGAATCAGGGACTTGTCGCCACTCTCGCTTGTAGTTGTGTGCATTGACGTAAGTCAAAATGAACACATGGATCTCAGCTTGAGCAACTAGTGTCAGAAATAACGGTTTATCTTGCAGGGGTAGTCTTCAGACATATCCTTCTACAGCATGAGAAGAGAAGTACTACTACACATCTGTGTGCAAGTACAAATCGTGTAGGCAGTGAGAAGGGGTAAAAAAAAAAAATAATCATCGGTAGGCTCGGAGTCCGTTGTGATTTACACTTACGACATAGACGCAGTGCTTGCAGGTATAATATTGGATACCTACCTCTTTGTAGGTTAGCCGTTTGGTTATCATCAGCCAGATATTTCGAGAAATTTAATCCCTTCTTGACACGATGAAGGGATGTCTCAGATTTAAAGTAGTGTTTAGACTGGATCACAGGAAACTAGAGGGCATGTAATATTCCAACTGAAAATTGTAAGTTCTCCCCGACTGTAGATGTTGGACCGAAGACCTGTTTCAAGGATCTTCTGCGTATTATCACTGATCAGACCACCAAACTTGACATGATAGGTACTTAACGACCTGAGTCTAGGCAGTGGCAAAAAGGAAAAATAGAATTGCGGCAACACAAAAGAATATTCGTAGGATTGTTTTTCACTGTGTCTATAATTCTCAGTTGCTAACAAAGGCGTGTATCAACAGTAATAGCTGCGGCAAGTACGTGGAGAAATACTGTTGTAATATTTTAAAGATAGGAACACTCGGAGACGATGGATCCAGGGCCCGGTGTTGGTGCTGACACGAGAATGGAGAGGGGTCATTGACACGGTCAAGCACGGTACTACTATATATGATAACATGTCTCTTACCCATCTGGGTGTCGGGAATATTTCTGAAAATGATACTAATGCGTTTTGATTTGTGCGCTCCAAAAAAGTAGAGGACTATACCACCCGTGTGGAGGTAGAGTTCAGTGATGAACAGAAGAAACAATACAAGTTTGGTGGTCTAACCTTGCTGTAAAGGTCTGCGGAATAGGTCTGTGAGACAGGTGGGATTCTCCTCTATCCAGGGGGCCACAGGCATCGATAATACGACATTAATGGTCGTCGTGGCAATGCCAAAACACTTTGTGCCCCGAAATTTGTGCTGCATTCAGCATACTTATCTGTATTTCCAGTAGGTGGTGCGAGCAACGAAACAATTCGTTGAAACCGTCCATGAATTGAGATAGATACCTCTCATCAGGCCCGTCTATTTGGGTACAAAGACTACAACTCCCAGCAATAATACAAATGAATCAGTACCACTACACACTCTTGTTCTCGTGCTTTTCTCAGGATGAGGCAGTTCCTAAAATGGGGTTCCCTTAATGGTTTTTTGATGGATTATCCCGCAACACAGTCTGACACCTTTCTTTCTATTCCTGTAGGGAAAATAGAGGCGGTTCTATTAATGCTAAACAGGAAGGTTAGGAAGTACCGAGTATGAATGATTGTGCAGGTTGCCCAGGAACGTGCG